CAACCCAGAGCGACAGACCACCAGCTCTGGGAGTGCATAAAAGAGCATTTCCCTAACCTTACCAAAAAAAAAACATCCAGTTCCGTACATTCAGATGCCATAATGCGGATTAGATAAAAAATTTCTCTACAACTTCTTCAGATTTAATCTGCTCCTTTTAAAAAGTTTAGCTGACAATATCCTTCTGTTTTAAGTCATCTTAAAATATTCCATCTACCCTAAATTAGATCCATTTTTCCGTGGCTGTTAGCGTGTATCTCAACTCAATATCTCTAAGTGGACGTCTGGTCTTAGAAGACCTATTAGAGTTATATCGCTTATAATGTTTAGTTATCCATAATAGGCAAAAGCACTTTCAGAAAAATTCATAATTTATATTAATAGCTCACAAATAATTGGTATGCTAAGCGAGATAGCGGTATGTTGCTGGAGCAAGTTGGTAAGTGACGTAGTCTAGAAAGTTACGACTTTCATATCATAAACAATTGATGAGATTTTAACTAAATAAACTTATTCAAATGTATATTTCAATTTTGTTTAGTTGGAAAATTATGGAAACTAAAAATTCACAATTAAATTAAGTGATTCATAATTATTTAGAGACAGTAATAAAGTAATTTCAAATACTTAGAACATCGCGACAGCAAAACCGATGTTAAGACTCCCAAGCGGACCAGTAGACTTAATGACTCAGTCAGAAAAAATCGCTTCACACAAAAACCGTTCTTCTTTCCGACCTTGCTGCACTTTATTTTGTATGTCCGTTTTTGATGTGATGCTGCCCAGATATTTATACCGTTCTCATTTTTTTATGTTTTGTAATTCCGGATCTGACATTTCTGTGTCCTTTGCTATAAGAGGGTCTTCGTCATATTCATGTTTAAGGCCCATATTTTATATTTTTCGATCTGCGTTCTTAACATACAGGGTGATTCAAAATTGGCGTCATTCCTTTTAAGTGTATATAAGGGCCCACTTAGAGAGTACGAGAAAAATGTTGAAAAATGTGTTTTCGAAAATTTCAAGATGTTAACAGTTTTCAAGATCGAATTTCAACTTTGTTACTAAGCATTATTTTGAAAAGGTACCACGTTTGATTGGTTCTACAATTTTTTGATAAAAAGTAAAAGCGGCAATCATGTTTTTTTCTCATTAACAGATGGTTGCAGGTAGCCTTTGTCAATAATAACAAGCATTTGTCAAACTGTGGCTTATTTTGAAGCTCCCTTCACAAAATGTAAACTAACATCGAATTTGCGAATATGCGATTAGTTATGGGAAAATGCCACAGTAACATTGCGGAAGCTATGAAGGCTTTCACGGCCGGTTAAATCACATTTAGGAATGTTTTCCGGGCTTTGAAGCCGT